CCCTTAATCGAAAGCTGGATCCGCCCCTGATCACAGTCGGCTATTTTGATCGTTCCTGAAAAGCAAATGATTGAGAAATAACAGTAGGAAAAATTGAATATTAATCTGCTTACGTATCATTTACTGAGGCTCATCCAAAATTCTCAGAAAAATCGATAATTTTTCATTATTAGCCCATCCTTTTCCACTCCTGTACGAAGAACGTACGTAACTTCCACCAGCGGATCAAGAAAGTGAAATTTTCTTCATCCCGTGTGGAAAGTAATAACTTTCGCCACGCACGCTGACATCTTGACTGTCAATGTCTCTTGAACTGAAATATACTGTAACGGAAATGACCTAGGGTACTCACGTTTGGAATGGGGGGATCAAAATTCATGGTATTTCAGTAAATGGGAGCCCCATTTACTGTCAAATATGACACTGACAAGCGGGAAATTTCGCACCTGGTCTGGAGATTTCGAGAACCGTCTGGGTTACCTAGAGAAAACTATAAGTGGCGACGAGAACCGTGGGGAGTCAGTGACAGCAGTGACTGAGTGCAGAAGAGGTTGAACCCCGCGAATTCGGAAGACCGAGTTTTCCTTTGTTATTGTTATTGTTTGTAAAGTTGACGGTAATTTTGAAGTTAGTTTGTTCCTGTTCCGTATTTAAAGTTATACCGAGTTGAATAAAAGTTGGAAGCTGAAGAAAGGGTTTAATACCCGGCACTTTTAATTCACGGTACAATACTACGAATAATAGGCGGAAAGATAAATTGGCATTGTCATGTCATTGTAATGAGTAAAAGTGATTCTTTCGCAATCGAAAACAGTAGCGAAACTGTACACTTTCCACCAGGCGATCAAGAAAATGCCCGCTCGTTTCATTATTATTAAGTTGTTATTTATTTAATTCTGATTCTCTTATTTTGAAGTTATTCCACTTTATACTACAAACAGCAACTGAATTAAAACAATACCCGATAACTAAACTTTATTTCCAAAATAAGAATAGCAATTTTCAAAGTTTCCTGAAAATAACGCCGAGCCAACAGCAGAATAACTGTCTGACTTTCTAGTAGTGACCCTGTTCTGTGTCTCGCCCCTGTCTGAAAGCATTCTCCTCTTATATCCTCATATTGATAAGATTCCATTGCATTGCATTCCATTTCCTTCTACATTTTCGCGTGAAGATACCTATCCAACCAGTAAAATAGTCTCATTAATGTTAGCAATAGCATTTTTATCCTTCCGTAACACAAATATTCCGTACTTCATATTTTAGGATACGCTCGACTTTATAGGTAGCAAATTTTTTGTAACTTTTGATCCGTTTTCTCTTATATTTTGCCGGATTTCTTCCATTTTTTGCAATGACTACAGACTACTTAAAAAGCTATATTGAAAGATGTTAGAACTGACAAATGCAGTTTTGATATCGTTTTCTAATCAAAATGGATATATTTTATAAGAAACTAGTTTTTTGACGCAAGAACGGGAACAAATAATACTGTTATACATCGTTGAATCGAATAGGTGCAATGAGAAAGAAAGTATTTTTGTTTTTGAAATGATTTGAAATAACTAACTAAATGAAATCGACCGAAAATCTGAAAAATATTTTTTTCTAAATATCGCAGAAATTAAAAGAAATACTTTATTTTCAAAAAGGCTATGTATGTGACTGACTAATTGTGCAACTTTTTACTAATTTAACGGACTTCGTATCCCGTACAGTTTCGGAGATCCCCATGCAATGCATCCTTATCTTGGACACCCTGCATAAATATATTTTTTATATAATAACAAAATTCGTTTTTTTCTAGACTGATCGAAAACTCGGAATGGCTACAGCAAATTCAGAACATAATGCAACTGGCTGGGGCAGTAGTTGATCTATTAGACTTACAAGGTTCAAGTGTAGCTATTTGCCTAGAAGAAGGTTGGGATATTACGCCTCAGGTTTCCTCTGTGGCGCAATTATGCCTTGACCCACATTACCGCACAATCGAAGGTTTTCGAGTATTAGTTGAAAAAGAATGGATTGGTTTTGGCCACAGATTCAGTCATAGGTAACAATTTATCAGTGTTTTGCCAACTAATGTTTTACGCTTACTTTTTCTTGCAGGAGCAATTTGAACGCCAATTCTCAAGCCAGTGGTTTTGTACCGACTTTTCTTCAGTTTTTGGACGCAGTGCACCAGATTCAGAAGCAATACCCATTGGCTTTTGAATTCAATGATTTTTACCTGCGTTTTCTAGCATATCATTCGGTATCTTGCCGCTTTCGGACGTTTTTATTCGATTGTGAAGCCGAAAGAGTGGAGTCTGGCGTAGCCGCTGTCGAGGATAAACGTGGTTCTTTAACGTCCCACCATAAAACTGTAGACACAACTTCCGATGATGAAAATATTTATCCCGGTAAGAACATTAACATTTTTTGAGGTTTTAAATATATATTTTGCAACTCTTGTTTAGGTGGACGATTATGCGGAACAAGTCTCGGAATTAATTTGGGACAGAGCGTTTTTGACTACATTGAAAAACAACATGCAAGGAACCCGCTGTTTTTCAACTTTATGTACACCCCTGACTTTGAACATCCAGTTTTGAGACCGCAGAGTCATCTTCCATGTTTAGAAGTGAGTGCTTCATAGAAAAACATAAATTTATATTTGTGGACATTTGATTGAATCTCAGGTTTGGAATTACTACTTGGATGAGAATTTACATCATGGCCCGAGCTATGATCCAGAAGTCATTCAAATGGATACGCAGCAAGAAGAAGAGGCAGAGGCTGCTGATGGGTCAAGTAAATCTTCTAGGAAAAATGTCGCGCTTGGGTATGAAGTCCATATTTTAAATTTATTGGTGCGTTGCGCTGGACATAGTTCAATTTTTTAGGTACGATTGCGTTGACAAAGTAGTTCCTGACGCGTTTAGTCATCTGCTTGAAGAAATCCATAAATTGGAGACTGAACTGGGACATCTTCCTCAAAAGTGGAAAGTTCTGTGGGATAAACTTGACCTGCCAATGATCGACTCGTTAACAGTAAGTAAAAAACATAAATCTATAACGTTAGTATTTAGAGAACTACCGACATAAAGTATAATATTACCGCCTTCTATGATTCTTAAATTATCTCTATCTATATATCGGTTTATAACGTTCAACGACGTCTTCCGATTTACAATTTCCATCTGTCTCGGTCGTTCGATAGATCGTCTTCAAGCTCTCTGTCTCTAAGTTCCCGGTCGGTACCTTCTCTTCAGCTCTTTATCTCGGTCTTCGGGGTCGTCTTCGCCCACTTGGCTGCCAGTTTATCATTTGCTTCGGGATTCCGTGTTCTTACATATTATGTCCATAACATATTAGTTGTTTGTTTTTTTTATGTCATCTGTCGTGTTGTGTCTCCAACGCGTTATTCCCATAATTTCTCAAACTGCCTCGTTTGTTATGCGTTCTCTTCTCGATACTTCTACCGCTCGACGCCTGAGCCTTTTGTTTTTGGTGAGGCTTCTGTCCCAAAGTAGTGCACGTAAAAGAGCGATCGCCTTTCTGCCTCGGTATATTTCCTGTTTGATTTCGGTATCGAGAAGTCCGTCGTCGGTGATTTTAACTCCCAGGTATTGATATTCTTTTGTTTGTTTGATGGTAACTCCGGCTTCCAGATCAAGATCCGTTTGTTCTCCATGTACTCTGTCTTTGGTGTGCTTACTTGCAGATCCCTCGTGTTGATATTCTTCAATTATATTTCGGGTCATATAGCTGAAATCGTCGTGATCTTGCGCGATTAGCACTTGATCATCGGCGAATCATAGAGAATATAGGGTCGTGTGTGAGAGTGGTATGCCCATAGTATTACACTTCTCTTTCCATTTTTTCAAGATTCGCTCCAAATATATTTTGAATCAGATAGGCGAAGTACAGCATCCTTGTTTCAATCCTTTTGATCCTATGAAGTCGGGTGTAATTTGTTTTCCTGATTTACAGTTGCTTGTAGACTCTTGATGGCTTTAATTAGCTCTACGTTTTCTCGAATATCGTAAGCTTTTTTTAGGTCCACAAATGAGATGGATTTGTTGGTTACGTGCCATCTTTTTCTCTATAACTTGTATTAAATCTCTTTGAGCGGGCACTGGCAGCATATTTTGCGCTTTTAAGTTTTGTTCGGTAAATGGTATTGTTTCCATAAGTGTTGAGAAACTAAATATGTTTGATTTTATGACCGAAAACCCAGGCAACATTTAGAAAATGCCAACATTTTTCATCTGTTCAAAAATTCTGATTAGATTATGGGGTAATAAGCATTCTGATCATTTCAATCTTTGCAAACCAAAGACATTAATAGTTACATTAATCTGAGTTGCGAAGCATTGCCGTCTAAAAATGATTCGTTCGATTTGAAGGTTTTAAAAAGTTTTTTTATTCTTCCACTTGTACTTCCGGAGTTTCTCTGCCGGAATGGGAATTACCACCCTATCTCTGAATTTTTGGCGTTTGGTGGATATAATAAATAAAAAAAGGTCCAACATACCACACCAAAATAAACGTGGTGGTTTGCTACGTGAAGGGATGCCAGGTACTTATTGCGGGTAGTACTCCCCTGTAAGAATGCGATTCTGTTTAGTCCGTATTGGTTTAGAACCCGGGCATATAATAGCCACACAAACAAATAACAGAAAAAAAAGAGAAACAACAAAACAACTACAATTAGAGAACTACAATGAATCTGAGTCTATGGCTCGTGTACCTGCGACTCGCATAATTGTTCAAAGTATCGCGGGTGGCAAAGAGCCTTGTTTCTGGTCGCGCGGGGGGCTGAAAAGTTTTACTTTTGATCTAGGAGTAGGGATGCTCCGGACGAAATGAGATTTTCTGGCTTTTTTGCACTTGGCATGACAAAAAAAATGTCCGCGTGGCGTGGCATCGGTTTGGGTATTTTTTGTACCGATCACTTCCACACTGCCCCAGTACGTGCTTCCTTCGGGACTGACCGCACGATCCCTTTTTTCCGGCCGCCCCCGCACCAACCTGGTCGCACTTGTCGCCCCCGCTGCCTATTAGTTTAAGAGTGAATGCAAGGGTTGTTCATGGCGGTCAAAAAAAAATTAAATTATGGAAGTCCAGAAAGTTAAAAGTTTATTGTCTGATTCCCCACGCGGCACGTCATACCCGATTTGGTCGATTGCACCGTTGTACATTAACGAAGGTTTAGGGCTAAACCTGGTTTATTAAGCCAATTTCACTTACCCGTCAGTTAAACTTGATTTACGGGCTCTAAGTGGAGTTTAAATTTAACCTACCAATTTCGGGGGATTAATGACGGATTGGCGTCAATCTGTAGTTGCAAACTTACATTTTTAATTATTTTGTTTTGTTTGCAGAGCTGCATTCCACTTTCCATTTTTATAAATAGTATTTGTAATTATAAGCATCTTTTTAGAAGATGATCTAGATTTTTTGGAAATAATAGATTTTGCTTTTCCACTGCGAATCTATGAAAAATCAGATAATTTTGAGGACAGACGCTTTAGGCTAAATAAGAAGTGTTCTTCACCTTCATTTAATCGAAGTTGAATTAAACTGTCCAAATAATATATATGTAGGTATTTGTAATATGTAGGTACCGTCGTTCGGGGATGGGAGATTTTTTCGATTTTTT